GGTTTATTGGATGAATATATTTTGTCAAAGTTGTCGTTTGTGAACCACTGAATGCCTAAACGTTATAAAGAAGATTGGAAGGGAACAGACCAAAGGACAAAGCCATATAATTTCTCCCATAAAGTGTCACCACCTTTTGTCGTATTTTTACCTCAGTTAGCACTATCTATTGAACAAAAAAAAAAAAAGAGGGGTTTACGAGTATACAGGTATCAATCTTTAAAATTATAAAGCGACAAGAAAACTTTAACTCTTCTCCCGTCCTCCCTCCCCTCAGTTCCTACGTCCCCTCTGCTAGAATTCAGCAATGACAATTACACTGACAGCTATCCCATAACACCAAATGAACTAGAAACGTTATTTTTTTTAGTTTGTGTTCAAAGTACAAAAGAATATGTTCTTGCCTTTTCTGCTTACTGCCACTTGGAATACCCAAACAAAAAAAGCAGTACATATGAAAAGAATCTTGTTTAAAATCTTTTGAAAAAAAGTTGGGAATTATGTTTGTTCATGTATTCGTGCATAAAACAAGTAAGGCAGAAAAAGAAACTTGTCAACTAAATTCGATTACGAAAGCACTGATATATAGGTGTTTGTGCATATTTGTTGTTAATAATGGTTATTAATACGTATTTTTTTTTATCAAATTTTTTTGCTTTGCAATTCAGCAACAGCAAAAGCAAAAGGAAAAAAAAAAAGGAAGAAGTAAAGGAAATCTGATTGACTGTCAAAACTACTGACGTATATATATATGAAACATGCAAAAAATAAAAGTTCTTACAACAAAAATTTTTTTTAATGTTAATTTAAAAAAATTGCTGATAAACTGGAGGAAGTGAAACCAGGAAACTGGTATGGGAAAAATGATGACGACCAGTAAAATATGGATTTCTTAAAACGAACAGATGGTTGATTATTGTGCATGAATCAATCAGTGTACATCTGATATTTGAGTTATAGGGAACTGTTGTTATCGTTGCTGTTGAAGTATTGCTAAAACTGAGCAGCCCTGTTCCTTTTCCTTTTTTATTTTGCTTTGTTTTCCACAGAAAATAAGCGTCATCTGCTCTTCAGGCCTGTCTAACAGTTATCTTAGATCAACAGTAAGGTTCATTGTTAAAGTTTTTTAGGTTTACACTAGCTGTCAACAACCAACTGTTCAGTAACGGCAGATACTATCAACTGGTTTAGTTGACAGGTTTTGTGTTCAAATATCATTAAGTTTTTAAGTTGTCAACCTTTTGAAAAGGCATAAAACTTTGTTAACATTTCTTGCTTTTTTCATTTCTGTAATTTTTTGCACACATATCTTAAGCGAAAAAAAAAAAGAACAGAGCAATAAAAAATGGAATTAAAAAAGACAGGAAGCAATTCTGTTGCTTAACTGTACAGCTGCCCAACTACTAAGTGATCGTTTCTAAAGATGGTAAGAATCATTGCATATTTATCTGAGTTTATTCAAGCAGTACTTCTCCAGAAACCTGAAAACCAAAAACTGGAAAGAATACAGTTACTGAAAAACCGCTAAAAAAGCCTCTGTTAAAATCAGTAAAACTTCATTCAAAAGTGGCGATCAAAATGACATTAGTTCAAAAGAGTTTAGTATTGCTGGCAGTGAAGAAACTCTTCAAGTTCACTTTGAGTAGAAAAGCTTTATTTCTACTGTAAAGTTTGCATAGTTAACTAAAAAATGAAAGAAAAAAAAACAAGTGAAGAAAAAATCAATAGTGTTGACTAATAGCCTTTATAAAAAACCAAAAAAAAAAAAAAAAAAAAAAAAAAAA